CTCATATTGCTGTATTTCTTTTTCTGTGCAGAGCAAAAAAAGAGCTGTGCATGTGGGCAGGAATGGGTTACTAACTAATTATCTGCAGAGGGTTACCACGAAGTGGAAGTGCCCCATGTCCTTCTCTGAAACAGAAGGGCTAAGATGACCATAGTCATGCAATCGCGGAGAACTCAGCTCTTCCACAAAGCAGCTGGAGTCTCATTAGCAGTTAAGGAGTTCTGATTCAGCAAAGTACTTGCTGAACTTTCAGCCTCTTTAGCCTAAGGAGAAGTTCAGAAAAGGGTAGCTGGGACATTAAAATCACTTTTCCTCCTTCAGAGTCCTGAAGATCTAATAGTACATGGGGGACTTTTAAGTCAAGTAACTGCAGCATTAAGGAGCTAAAAGGAAAGTGCAAGCCAGAACAGATCACATCCCATGTTGCACTGCACAGTATCCTGACTCCTCAATATTTACATGAAACCAATTTAGATTTTTCCAGATGTTAGAAAAGTAAGTGTAAATAACACAAATGGCTTTGCAGCTGTAAGTGGATCACTCTTCTGCATCCCTCTCTGAAGTGGAAACTGCTAGAGTTTAAGTTAGTTTACACATAAAAACAAAAGCAAGGGGAGCAAATCTGAGCTACTCAGATGCTTCCTTTTCCCTTTGCTAAGAACAAGCTAAAGACAAAGGCGCATTCACTCAATGCTAAGGAAGCCATTCTTGTCATCTCTCACTCAAGGAGGGTTCCCAGTCCCATGCTTGTCTCTGTGCCCTGCAATTTCTCCTCTGAGCTCAGTCCCACTGTGAAGTGTTCCTCTGCGGGTACCATTCCTGAGTGCCAAGTGCTTTCCTAGGGACTGCATGGGGTAGGTTCCATTCTGGGCTATTGCAGGAAGGGCACGTGCCTTCTGGTGTGTATTGCCAGGTGCTGGCTGTGCTGGCAGCCTCTTATAAATCACACTGGAGCTTGTCTTGCACTTCAGTGGAAGAAACTACTTACAGCAGGGCTTTTTTACAGATGGTAGAGGGAGCAGAAAGAACGGTCCTTTTCTTAACCATTGTCTCATGCAGAAGATAGAAATGAGATAAAACCTTGCATCCTATCCTGGGTGTTCTGCATGTGTTTCCTGTTGCTTGCTGGGCGACAAGCTGGTAAACAGAAATGCTTTCCTCTCACAGACAATTGATTTTGCTTTTCCTTTTGATTTCTCAATAGCCCTGCACAGTTGAGACTGCCTGAGCTCAGCAGTAACAGCTGCTGGATAACACTTTGACTCCACAGATGCTCTTTTCAGGGTTCTCAAATGTTTCTTGCTTCTACTGAGCAGACTTTCGGCCAGAATGTCTGTCTCAGATGTACCGATTCCAGCTGATTCCTCAGCCTCCTATTTTGCTTCACTAGACATGATTGCTCTAAATAAATTACCACTATCAGGCAGATCGTAGCAGATTGTGAATCCGCAAGGTGCTTCTCAAAGAAGTGTTTCTATTAGAATTTCAGAAAGCGCCACCAATGTAATTTACAAAAAGATTAATTTATTATTGAGAGACCTCGACTGTCCATTCCTTTATAATGTAATGAACTGTGATTTGGAATAATAAGATATAACAATGCCATTAAAAGCTGAAAACTTTTCCAGAATAATCTTTTTCCCTCCAACTGAATTTCCTGTACTATTCAGAAATATAAGCTTTGACAGGCATTACAAGGCTATATTCTCCCAAGGTTTACATTCAGTGCATGTAACAGGCACACATTTTGACAACACCTAGCCACTCAGTGATGATGATTCCACAGCCATTTAGAAAACAGGCCAAGTTGCCATCTCCTGCCCTAAAAATCTATGCTAATGGTCTTGAGTGGATTTAGTTATAGCTTTATCACATTCCAAAGTTGTATAAGGGGACAGCCTCTCAATTTATGAAATTAACTGTGTGTTATCAAACTGGGAATACAGATGCCTTTTTCCATTTTTCTCCAGTTTTCACTAGAATAATGGAAGCCAAATCATTCCAGGCAAACACTGCACAGTAATTGCAGCTGATATTGTCATACAGATCCTGCAATGATTTGCTGGCTCTGAACAGCTCAGTCTGTAGAAACAGAGCAGACAAGACTTGGAAAATCAGCACTCTTTCCATCTAACATGTTTATTGCTGAAGCAAAAGCTATTGCCATTTATTTTGGTGAGTCCTCACTCGCAGGGGATGTTTGCCTGAAGCAATGACTGCACAGTTTGGCTTTATGAACTTATCATTATGATCACCATTATCAATTTTGTGCTTTCTACTACTATCTGTGATTATTAATTAATGCTTCGTTCATTTTCCCAGCAGTTCTATCACCCTCACAGCATCTCCAGAGAAATGTCACTCTCCTCAGTTTTACACAGTGAGCAGCTGAAGCATGAGCCTAGGCTGGAGCAGAATTAACACATCAATCAGAATTCAGGAGTTCTAGGCTGCTGGTTGCTCTTCTCAGATCATTGGATCCTACTTCTTCCTGCATTACAGCTATACTTTTCAAACTCACTCTTACTGTAAGCCCTGTGTTAGTGGAATAATAAAGGGAGATTTTTTAGGTGGTCTTGCCACAGGAATCAAATGAAATGGCAGCTTGCCTCTGACAGTCAACACAACTCCTTTGAAGGTTCCTCACCCTGCACAGACAGATCTAAGGCTCCCATCATGTGTGACTTGATTTATTTGTTTGGTGTTGCAACTTTACACCCTGGTTCATAAGCACTGTCAGGTTTCTTTATCCTCTTTACTTGGGCAGTGAAAAAAATAGTAACAGTACAGTATCACAGTATTTATGTACTTACAATCTAGCAACCATGTCTTGAAAGAATTCATGAATACACTAAAAAGGTTCTCAAGCATTTGAGTTACACAAAACACCTGACTGTTTAGTTTGGTTTTTTTAAACAAGTTGTTGAAAACTACACTGAGAAGAAGGGTACCAACTTGTTACCCTTACTACAGTGGTTTTTATGTACTTATACAAATGCTGCACTTTTCTGGACAAATTCTAGCCAAGAAGCCACATTTTCCTACCTAAAAATTTTACTTAAATCTGTTTCATAATGATTACATTGTACTTAAACAGGTTTTTTACACTACAGCTTTGTGTTGATATACAGCTGCTAATGGATAAAGTGAATCCCATCTGCATAGCAAAGGAAAACTTCCTTTTTTTCTGAATCACAGAAACCCTGAACGATTCAAGGTCAGCAGGGGATATATCAAATATATCAACTATATCATGGGCTCCATATCATGGACTGTTCTGTTTATCATGAAGTCATGAAGGAACAGCAGAGCAAAATCAAAAAAAATAAGATTGCCTTGAAGACAATCTGACATGCTTCTCACCCATACCATTCCCTTGATGCTCAAAGGCAAATTAAGAATGCTTATTTTATTTTATTTTTCTTCTTGTTTTTCCCTACATTAGTGCAATGAGGCCAAGAGAAAAGTCTGGCTAGAAAACTTAAGCATCACTTTGATAACAAGAATAAGTAGCGACAGTGCTTTAAACGTGTTTTCTGCTGTTAGAGCCTTACTGATTTCTTTCCTGTGATGGGAGCTGAAGACATTCTTAGACAAGGAAAAAAAGCTGCCTTCAGAAGAATATTTTAAGCTTCTGTAGTTGCTGTAAGTAAAAAATCAAATTACTAAAGTAAACTAAATGGAAGTAAATCAGCATTCTATAGATTAAGACTTCAATTTCATAAGCTAATATACATTTAGAAGTAACTACCTCTAGTGTTGCTCAGCTGCAAACAAGACAGAAAATCACATCTTCAGGTTTTAAATTTAAAACATAGCTTTATAGCAGTTTCCATTTCTGCATTAGATAAACTTTAGTGCTAAAATGGAATATTGAGATGTTAATGACTTTGCTTTAGTAAGACCTAAACTTTTTAATTAACCTGCCAAGACAAATTAAGCCCATAGCTCTTAGGTAACTACTGCAGACAGCTGAGACTCAACACCAATGCCTCTGTTGGGAGAGGGATTAATGGCAGCTTTGGAATGAGTCTGCTTTTTTCTGCAAAGAAAAAAAGTCCATTAAACACTGTGGTCAGAAGAAAGCTGAGTGCTAGTTTTATGGGCAAATCTTTAAATTACAGCCAAATGAATTTTGGTATATGAACACTTTAAGCAGGTCACTCAAATTTAAAATTAAATATTACTGAATCAGAAACAGACTTAGATATTTACAGGGTGGAAGAAGAATACTCAGTGGAAGAAGAATACTCAGTGGAAGAAGACTACTCAGTATTCCTCACTGAGGAATACTCAGTGTCAGGCACCCACTGGCAGCATCTTCTCCGCCTTGGACAGCAACAAATCCATGCCTGTGAGCTGAACTAATAGGACATTTTACTGCCAGAGAAGTCAGAAGACCTATTTAGTTAATTTGTTCTTCTTAAGCAATCTCAGCTTCTTTCTGTTAGCAAGGAGAAACAGGGATTCCTGTTACTGTGGTTGCTACTACCAAGGCTTACAGTGCACTTTATTGGAGTTTTAAGCCCAATGCTCTGCCTGAACTCCAGCTTGAGTGATTTCGATGGTGTTCAATGGCAGAACTGTCTGTCCAACAGAACTGTGGAATGGTGCTACTCTCTGTTCTTCAATCACTCCTACACCTCTGCTCCAGAAAGAGAAAAAAGCCTATCAAACAAACAAAAAATCAAACAAAACCAACAAAAGCCAACTAAATAAAAGGAAAATAAAATTAAGAAAATAAAGCACGGATTTTCCAGCTTGTAATTCAAGTTTGGCACTGTGCAGAATCTCATTATGGTTATAGTTACTTAAAAGACCTACAAAGGACTTACTCAACATTTAGGGTCTAACAGTATTCAGCATATTGCTAAATAAAATCCCCTCCAAGCATATTCTCCAAAACCACACATATAGCCATCGTGCAATTCGAGTACGTGAGTTAATACCTGGCCCCAAGACATACTTAGGAGTTCAGGAATAATAGAGGAAATCCTTACCAATAGCAGTAGTAAGAAAAGAAACCACTTCCGATTCCTTGCCATCATTGTAGAAGGCTAAATGCCATATTCCTGAATCTAAATACTGGATAAATCCTGTCTCGTGGCTGGCCAAGGGCACAAAAGTTCTGTGCTGCCGCTGAGGTCCTTCCAAGCTTCTCGCCTCCTGTGTCAGTAGACGTCTTCCATCAAGGAGCTCAACAAAGTCAAACTGAAACATAAGAGGGATTTATATTTGTGTGTTTATCAGGTATCCTCAAGCTTAGTCTCTTATTCTGGGTCTGCAGAAGCATCATAAACAGGATTTGCTTTGGTAACTCAAGTACTTTCCTGGACTACCTGCAAGTAACCCTTTTGGAAATAGCTAGTATATGAATATATTTTCCTGGAATTATATGAATCTTGAAGTCATCTTTGTTTAGAATGTGACTTGCAGCATACTCACCCTACTGAGGTGTTCTCATTCTGTAGAAATATAGGCAGGAAAACATGAGACCATGACTCAACTGCACTGTAAATATGACATTAAGCAGCTTATTTGTTATCTTTTTTTATGTCCTGGCTAATACGGAAAATAAGACAGAAAAATATACCTAGCCCAACTGGGTTGTTTGTCGGAGTTGCTATAGGTCACCAAGGGAAAAGCAAAAAATATTTTAAAGTGAACTCTGGAAGAGGTCTTGCAGAAGTATTTGGCTTAGCCAACAAGGATTTTATCTTAAAACAATAGGAAAAGTGATTAAAAGGTAATAGAAAATAAAGATGCAAAAGAGATAATTAATATAGAAAAATCCCATTTAAGGAGTGGCTCCAGGTATTTTCCTCAAAAGGATGCATTTACTTTCTGCAAGGGTAACTTCAACTTAACAACTGCTTTGCTTTGATACTAGTATTGCAACTCTCTTTAGTTCCCTATTTAAAAAACTTTCCACTGATTTTCCACAATAATTGTATTTTGTCTGGTATTATATTAATGGGATCAGGCAGATATAAGCCTAGAAGACATCACAAATGTTAAATGAACCTTATCTAATCTGACTTTTATCATGTGTTTAGATGACCAAGACACCTCGCAAACAGAATCCAACAGTTGAGGCACTATTCAGCTTTTCTATTCCCTGACTTCACTTGGTTTTGCCTCTCTCATCCAGCTGATCAGGTAAGTCTGTGATTTTTTTTTGGCAGGATAAAGAAAAACAGGCAGAAAGAAACAACATCACATTTCTGAACCCGTAAATGTTGCTGCACTGAATGGTTGCTGAGTGTTAGTTGACTGTGGCACCAATATTTAGGCTGCTTATTCCTTTTCACTTTACTGTAGCAAAATTTGGGTGCTTGTTATTAAATTGCCTGGTATGGTCATCAAAGTCAACTAAGATAAGGACTTGATTACATGTTCTTTCCTATGTAGGAAAAGTTAAAAAAAGTTAAGCTAATAAGTTAAAAAAAGAAGTGTTTATTTCTAAGAACATTTTGAGTAATAAGCTATATATGACATAGCTTGCATACAAAATGACAGAATTCGACCCCAGATTATTTTAATTACGTATTTTTAATTATTTATTTAGAGGAAATTATTTTTGATCCTTGCTACAATTTTTATTTTCTTTTGGTTATATTTAAATAACAGATCTCAACTTTGGTGCTGAAATGTCTTTTTGAGAATATAAAAGCTGCCACACTGCAAAGGTCATTCCTTTTGGGTGTCTATACAAGTTAGCTTTGCTAGAGACAGAGTTTCAGTTTTGGAAAAATATGAGATATATAAATTATAAAAATAATCTAAAGATCTAAATCTGAAAGTAAAAGGCAAGTATAAATTCTAAATACTTGTAATTAAAAAATGTAAATTTCTGTTTCAACTGTGCTCTGGGGGGCATCAGACACAGCATCGCCAGCTGGGCAAGGGAGAGGTCCCGCTCTGCTCTGTACTGGGGCAGCCTCACCTTGAGTTCTTGGGGCAGTTTTTGGTGCCACAATATAAGAAAAACACTGAGCACTTAGACAGTGTCCAAAGGAGGGCCAGGAGGATGGTGAAGGCTCTGGAGGGGAAGCTGCATGAGGAGTGGCTGAGGTCATTGGTCTGTTCAGCCTGGAGAAGAGGAGACTGAGGGGAGACCTCATGGCAGTCTGCAAGTGCCTCATTGAGGGGAAATGCAGGGGCAGACACTCATCTCTTACTTCTCTGTAGTGACCAGTGACAGGACTTGAGGAAACAGCCTGCAGCTGAGTCAGGAGTGGTTTAGGTTGGAAAAGGGAAAAAGTTTTTCACTCATAGTGTGAACACTGGAACAGGCTCGTCAGGGAAGTGGCCATAGAAGTGTTTGGACAATGCTCTCAGGCACAGGGTGTGATTCTTGGGGTGCAAGGCCAGGACCTGAAGATGACCATCACAGGTCACTTCCTACGCAGCATATTCATGATTCTATGAAAACACCAGAAGGATTTAAAAGGATACTGGTGAGTGGTTGGTTTGAAAGACACTTTGGGATCCAGGTGTCTGTAGCCACTCTGAGCATGAGCTACTGCCTAGGCTGATGCCTCATCAGGTCTCAGTGTGACCATGCCAGACACAGATGAGCAGGACAGTAACAGAGGGCATCATTGTGGTGTCTGAGTCCTGGGAATGCCTCAACAGAGCTTGAGTTTGAATAAGGAACAAGCAAACTGAAGAAGGTAAAAACAGTAAGAGAAAACCCAGAGTATTTCCATATTAATTTTTGAGCATGATGCAACAGCTTGACTCAATTTTTAAAACAGAACTTAAGAAACCATTGGTAAAGTTCACCTTACCAAGTGCTGACATCTCCATGGTAGCTTGAATTAGTTTTCTAGAATCACAGGACTGCAAGTAAAGAAACACTTCTAGGATGCAACCACTCATTGTAAAGTGGACATCTAAGAAATGTTCTGTGGATTGTGCTGACAAGAATTCACTTCCTGCTATATACTAGATGTAGTCACTTAGAGCTTGTTGAGATGAAAAAATTTCAAGGCATTCAGGTACAGTGAGCTACTATTGTTCCACTTCAGTCTGGGTTATGCTTACTTGGGGCTTTCTGCCAAAACCAAAAGGCTTCTTTAATAAATATTTGCAAGATGCTCCTGCAGATGTTGATGACTTTCCTAAGCTACTAGTTACTAGTTGTAAATACTCACTGAGCCACAAATGGATTGGGTTTTATTGCATTTTAATATATTCAAAGATTTTTAATAGGCAATTAGTTACTGCCAGCAAGGAAATCATTGATAAAATACCATGTTAATCAATTCAAACTGTACAAATGTAAAAATGCCCTCTGCAAGCAGTGACAACCTATCCTTAAAATTTATGATTTATTGAAATTTGGCCTAGGTTAAAATGAGTTTAAAAAAGGATTTGATCTAGGAAGATTAAATCTAATAGACCATAACAAAATTGTGTAACCTATTATGATCTGTTGCGAAGAATGAGAAGAAATGCCTTTTTCTTAATAGTAAACTATTATAGGCTTCTGCATGATCTGTTTCTAAGACTATAGAAATTCAGAACTTACATTTTCTTCCTAATCATTAGTGACCACAGTTGTTGGCAACCTAAAACAGAAACAATCACCACTGCCAGAGAAAGTTTCCCAAAGAGAATTTGGAATAGTTTGTTATTTTAGCATTGATAGAGATGACTTTGAGCATTGTATTGGGTTTGCATGGCCAGGTTTTGGTAGCAGGCGGGGCTGCAGGGGTGGCTGCTTTGAGAAGCTGATGGAAGCTCTCCCTGTGTCTGACAGAGCCAATGCAAGCTGATGCCAACACAGACACACCACTGGCCAAGGCTGAGCCTCTCAGTGGTGGTAGTAATTGTCACCTCCTTTATAACATATTTAAGAAGCCAAAAAGATTATTGCACATAAGTAACTGCAGCTAAAGAAGAGGGGAGTAAGAATATGTGAGTGGATGAATTATGCAGACACCAAAGTCAGTGCAGAAGAAGCTCCAGGTGCGGGAGCTGAGATTCCCCAGCAGCCCATGGTGCAGACCCTGATGAGGCAGCTGTGGCCCTGCAGCCTGTGAAGCTCCAAAGGGGAGCAGAGATCCACCTGCAAGCAGCCTAACAAGAAGACCTATGTAGGAGCAAGTGGATGCAAGTGACCCCATCCCAAGTCATGCAACAAGTTATTGAAAGAAATAGATAAAAAAACCCCAATACATAACACAAACATTAATTTGAGACAACATAACTTAATTGAATTAAGGTCCCATTACCTGTGTGTGCGACGGTGGGAGTCCTTTTCTGCCATAGATGCCAACCAGAGCAGCCTTTCCTAAAGACACATTGAATTTCAGATGCACTGGGTGGTCGATGAACACCTGAGATCTCCAAAAGATACCAGGAGGGATCTTCTGTGTGGCTCGTCTGCCTACATCAATTTCTCCGGAGTCTATAAAACTGTCGTCTGGAAAGAAACTACTGGGTTTTCCTGCCAAAACACAGGAAAAAAAAATCTTGAATTAGTCTTTAGATCCTGAAAGTAATTTAATCATACTGGTATCTCTGACACTGATCTTGAGAAACAGTCTATTAGTGTCCTGAAGTCTTCAGAATACTTTGTCTAGCCAATACATACAATTATGGGGAAAAAACCAGCAGGATTATTTCTGGCTTCAGCAACTGTTTTGTTTGAAAACATGAGCATGGGAAGAGCAACCTGGAGAAAAATGGCCTTTTGTTTAAATTTTACCATCAGAGAGTGTATAATTACATTACAAATAGGAGAATAAATCATCTGACATTATATCCTAAATTAATGTAAGTTTAGGAATGGAGAAATCATCATTACATTAGTAAATAGAAGTGTAGCAAGAATGAGATAGACGCGCCACAGAGTGGAATGGCAGTGTGGAGAACAGCAGCATGAACAATGCCTAAGTGGGGAAAGGAAAATGTTTCTCTGTTAAATTAATTCTTGACAGTGGTAACAGTATTTGAAATAGTAAAAAAAAGCCTAATAAAAAAAAGGACTGAGATAAACAAAGGAGACCATACCCTGCACGTGAGTAGTATTTATTAAGAAAAATGAGATTTTTTAATTAGGTTTCAATATAATCTGTAAAGTATGCTATTATTATCCATTTTCTTTCAGAAGAAAATGGAGGCATCTGTTTCTAAAATTACCAGGCTGGAGAGCCTGGGTATTCAATTGCGATCAGGACATGCCATAGTGTCCAAGGGAGTCTGCAGGGAGCTTGGCACCCCTAAAAACATACCTGAAGAATTCCAGGTTGGAAATTTATGCAGTCGTAACTCCCAAAGCAGATGGCTGCTTCAAAAAATCTGGACCCAAAGGAAGACCAGGGAATGAGGGGCAGAATGAAAAATCAAATGCCAGAATGTTCCCTTTTCAGCCTGTGCTATAACCAGCGGCCACAGCTTTGGGTGCAGAGCATAGGGATGATGAAGAAGGCAACTACTTAGCAAACAGCCTTTATTAAGGACACTTCTAGTGGCAAAGCATTGCAGTAGTGTCACCTGAAAGATTCTGGCTTTAGTCAGGAGAGCAACATGTCACCAACAAGGACTAGTTATCAATTTTGGAAATTCAAATACATTTGTTTCTTATCTCTGTGCCATTCCAGCACACACTACTCAGTGTTTCACAGAACAAACAATTCTAACAAAATGAGAAGGAAACTTCTGGCTATATACATTCTTTTATAGGAAAATCATATTATGAATTTTTTTCTTCCAGTATCTACATTTGAGGATGGAGAAAAAAAACCCCTTTCCTAGTTATCAGGAATTTTTGTCAAATAGTCTCAGAATTTACTTGCTATGTTGAAAAGGTAACTGGTAGAACATTGCATTTTATTGTTTCAAATGACATTTCCTTTAAGATTACATAATGCTAAATACAGGATTGCCTTAAATTTCTCCACATATCATCTGAACACAAACTCTCCAGAAGAAACAGATGTAAATTGTAAGCTGTCTCTGAAAATCAATATAGAAATGGTAGGCATATTAACTATTAAGGACAGAAAAATTTTCCTTGCAGAACTTTTGACTTCAGTAACACTAAACCCTTTTTTAAAGTCAGCAACTGCTTAAGGACACTGTTGAAGCAGGACTTGATGGTATGAGCTATCTTGAGGCATAGGTTTTATGCATACCAGCACAAAAGGTATTATGCAAAGGCTGCACGTTCACACAAAAAAAGCTATTCTTAATTTTATAAGACTTCCATTTATCTTTGTTCATCCCTCTCAAATAAATACAGGTGGGAAATCTGCTGACTTTTTATTCTTTTTCAGTTCATATTAAAGTACATATTAAAGGAGATAATAGGAAACAGCTGAGGTAAATGGGCATTCTTTCTGAATCCTTCTGTGCTAATAGAATACAATTGTACAAGGAAAATCAACCAGCTACATTCTGAAGGGAATTACTATATCAACTGGATTGATAATATTTATTTGGCATATTAAAATTTTATTTTCACACTCACAGAATTATGGGAATGTCTTCATGCAAGGTTTCCAATGTCTTAATGCAAATTTTCTTATTGCACTATTGTAAGATGAAAAGATTGAGGATTCTATTAAAGAAGAGCTAAAGACATCACATGTTTTGGTTCAAATGAAGGATGTATTTTTTCTGATTACTACTGACATGTTTTATAGATTTTTAGATATTCTGATGAAAACCTTAAGTATTTGATATGCCCCATGATTGTTCATTAATAAAGACTGCACATCAGAGTGAATCAGGGAAGGTGAGAATTTAATATGACAGGTGTTGCTATGCAAGATAGAGCCTGGAGAAAATGAGCACAGGGTGTATTCTGTAGAGAGATCAGCACTTGCTCATGCAAACGAAAATGCTTCTGTGATTACAAAAGACAGTCTCACAGAAATAATTTTTTTCTACACATAATTACAAAGTTTATGTCTTCTCTTGGTGGAAAGTTGTATGTCTGAGAAGCAGATCCTAAGAGCTGTTATGTCATGTTGCCAGAGGTTGAAGCTTGTCCTGATACAGAAGTCCAAGGAGAAGCTCTCTTCACGAGCCTGAATTCAGTCCCTGAAATCCCTCTCTGTTCCACCAGTTGCAGCCTACAATAAGATTAGGCCCTATGGAGTGGATAATTCACAAAGAAAGTAGCCATTCAGCCAAATAAAAAAGCCATTTCAGCTTCTAATTAGAAATTGGCTTTTAATCAGAATGCCTGACTCCTTAAAATTAACTTCAGGTCTGAATTCTTAATTGGGCTGTCAATTTCTTTGCTCTTTCTGCACATTACCTTGAACTTTCTAGTTACCGTAGCAACTATTCCTAATTTCTTTATATCAAAATGAACTATTTAATTTCAGACCTTGCTGGATCTCTCTGTATTTCTCACAGGATGGTTACCTGACCCATCAAAACACTTAAAAACACACAAAGCTCTGACTTCAACCACAGTCAATTACATGCTTAAATGTAAGCATGTGATTAAGTGCTTTGGTAAACAGGGTTGGGCTTGAACAAAGGTAAATGCTGCTCGGGAGCACAGCCACAGATGAGAAGGAATGACTGTTACTTGAGAGTTGGCAAGACACTGGTAATGATTCATTCAGATCAGCTCTAAGGATGTTCTAACACATTCCAGCCTATTTCATTCTGATCTGGAAGCCATTCAAATATATTTCAAATATTTTTAAAATAAATTTCAATTACACACATTCTGGTTTAGAACAGAAGCCCTGCAGCACTGCTAGTCCAGAATTAGTTACACAGTTACCTGGTGGGGAGAGAGCTGCATTTCAAGGCTGGACAGTATTACTCCTGCCCCAAAGATGAGCTGATGTGTTTTTAATTCAGGACATGAAATTTTCCTCTAAAGCCTACAGATTCTGTAAGATCTATACAAAGTAGTAACTTGAGGGGTCTTCTCATGACATAACTAGGCTATTTCCTAGATTTCTCTTTTAACAGAGCAGCAATCAAAACTTCTACTCACGTCACTGTAAATGTCGCTAAAATAAAATCAAGTGGAGGCCTTTCACTTGGATGGCAGTTTTGAATACCCACATTTATTTTCATTTTGATTTTTAAAAGGAAATGGACCGATCAAAGCTAGATGATTCAACAATTAAACATATGGCAAGTTAGAGGGGAAAAGAAAAGGACCTGTTGTGCAGTATTTTTGAGTACAACAGCAGGGCTGTCTGCAGCTTGCTGTACTGTCTAGTAAGGTTTGCTAAGAATAACCTGCTTAGCTGATTTTTCCTTGTAGCAACTTGATGGCAGCCATCAGTTACCAGTAAATGCACTGTTTTAAGGAACACACATAATTATGGCCTTTATTTGGATTAATAAAGACAGAAAAACTCTTATAGGAAAAACCGACTACAATTAATTTAAATTAAACATGTAAACACAGGCTGTCAGCCAAAGCCTAGGGAACTCTGCGGAAACTTTTGAGCTCACTGAATTGCAAGAACAGTAGCATACATCTTATTTGTTCAATAAATTTCCACCAAAATAACTATCAAAAATAGTTTATTACTTTATTGGAATCTCATCATTATATATAGAGAAGCTTGACACACAAACAGAAAAAACTTTCTGAAAGTTTGCATTTCTCATTTCTCCACCTATGTCTGGGGAGGAATTAGACTTTTCAGAGCTTACAAGTACTTTTAGCAGTGGTGCCTCTAAAAAAGAACACAGTGATGTAAAGCTCCTGAATAAGGTGCGGCTGAATTGAGGACCCAGAAGCTGCTTCTAATTTCTGTCAACACCATGATACTTTATGGAGACTAGGCCTTTTATTTGGCTACTTTTGCAAAGCTATGTTCAACTCTGGAGTGCCAAAACTTAAAGTGTAATAGCTGTCAGTAAGTATTTCGGTCCTCAAAACATTTGCTAACTGGCAACAAATAGTCAAACTCAAACATTTTTTGTAGTTCTGTAGAGGAAGCTTGATCCAGGGCTCCAGGAATCATTTAATTTTCAAAAGACAATGCTGTCCCATGAAAACAGCCATCAAGGCAGTGTTTTCATGCTGGCCTTCTGTAGTCTGTGAGAATGCCTTGAATGCATGGAGGTTTCACACAGTTTTATTGCATTAGTGGACACCAGAGGGGTATGAAACTTAGAAACATATGGAAACAGGACTGACAACTACTAGCTCTAGACATGAAAGACTGAAAAAGCACCTGCTGATGGCAGCGCTGAGGGTAATGGAACATGAGATTGGACGGCTGGAGTTTAGAGGCAGACAGAGGACTCACAACATGGACACACACCAACCATACCTTCACTGGTTCCTTTGCCTTTCCTGTCAGGTAACTCTAACCCTGTGCCCCCCGAAGGATATAAGGAGACGTCCGTTGGCACTGGCCAACTGCTGGCTGTGTCTTCCGTGATCTCATACATCTGCCCTTCCATCGGCTGCAGGTGCCAGTTTAGGCCAAACAGGTGCATGGCTGTGGTGAGCAATGAGAAAAGTCATCTTTTTCTGTTTGGGAGAGTTTCAGAACTACAGGGACACTTTCTCTTTCTAAACCCTCGCTCCAGTGTCTTATCAGTGGTCATTGCTTTAGGACAAGAATGGGATCAATGTAATTAGACAGCCCCTGCTGCTTCTACCATACCAGCTTCCTAGGTCTTTCCACCCACTTAAACTCAATTTAGATCACCTGTAACAATCCACTCTGCTTCTTCCAGCAGAACCACTCCTGACTCATGATCTGAGTAACCAGACCATGGATTAGGATAACCAGGCACAGTGTTTCCCAAAGCTCCCAAGGCTGGGGTGACAACGTGGTGAACACAAAAATACAAGGAATATTATTTCTTAACAGACCAATAAATCCTAGGGAAATGCACTCCGGCTTGTTTTGCCATACTCACAAGTGTATTATATAGGTTCTCTTTTTTTTTACCCATGAATTATACACAAAAGCCCTTACAGACATCTCTGACAGCTTTTCCTGGTTCAGACCAAGTCAAAACTGAGGCAATTCAAGACCCATCTTTCACACGTGCCTTTGTGCTCTGCATCACAAATGTGAGTGACTATGTCTGAGCATTCCTTCATACAACTCAGCCTCTTCTATTCAGATCAAAGGCATATCCTTGAGAGCTGAAAACAAGCAGCACCATTTAGATTTGTGTGATAGCAGGGCAAAGCTCTCTGTAGGTTTCTCGGTCATGCAAAGTCATCCAGGGCACATGTGCGTCTATTTCAAGGCACTGCATAAAGACAAGTGAAGTTAAGGAAAAAGACAGCCTACTTAAAAAGCAAACATATGTATGAGGAGTGTGGAAATCTTATGCTTATACAACTAGTACTTGCCCCTTCCAAATATAAAGCAAAAGAATGTGGCTTGTGGCTTACCATATCAGTTCTTCCATCCCCAACATAAACATTTCATACTAAATCAGTATCCAGCCTAGCTTCAGGCTCAACACAGCTAAATGATCTGATATTTGTTACATTTGGAATGACATTTCTTTTTTAAGGGAAAGCCTTGATATTTTACACTATAATTTCTCCAAGAAACTATACAATGGTTCTAACATCACAGCCATTTAGTATAAAAAAAAAAAAAAACAAAAAACCAAAACAGTGAAGAAACAGAGCATTTCCATGACCTATAACTCCATTTTTATTCACAAACATATACCTGAGATTGGCAACCATTGTTAGGGACAAGTGATTAGTTTATTTAAACCTGTGCATCAGAAACAATCTTCACAAGAGGACTGAAAATTAATCTGAGTAGCTCTCTGAAGACAGCATGTTTAGGCAATTTAGCAAAATATGTGATATTTTCCACTTCACTCTCAATTAGGTCAGCTATCATTTACTAACATAAACAAGGTTGTCTTTGCACAACTACAACATCACAAAACATGAGTGCAAAATTCTTTTCTTACCATGTAAATGGGGACTGTGTTTGTCAACAATTTTATCCATTAGGAAAGAAAATATGCTCCTTAAACTCCCACACAGCAAGGAAAGTCTTCCGAGGACCTGTTCAACACTCATTTTAAACAGGTACATATACCACGAAGGAATGTTACCAACACTACTGGTAATTTAACCAGGGTACTTTAGGAAGAGGAACAAGTATTTTCATCTAAAAGGGATATATTTACTCAGCAGAGAAACTGTGCAAGGGAGGACAGGAAATCAGACCATGAACAAGGAATCTGCATCAAGCATTTGGCATTGCTATGCTTGCATAATATCTTTGTGTTTATACAGCCCTCATCATCAGAGTGCCTGGGCACTTCATAGCTATTAACCTCATCAGGTAGGAATCTGCTTTTTTCTAGTACACAAAAAAGGAAAGGAGAACTACAGCAGATTAAAGGACTAACTCAAGTCACTTGTTTGGGCATTAAAATGCAATTGTGTGTTAATTCACTTAACTTACTGTATGCTTAGATGGCTGCAAGCTCTAAGAAGCATTTCATGCAGCTCTCTGCTAGCAGTTTTGTTGTAAGCTCAGTACTGGATGCTATCTTATAATTCCATCCAGGCTGGACATGTCCAAGGACCAGAGTGTCACCCAGGTGCCACAGAACAGTTACAGGTCTCAAGGGATTAGATACTCTGAGCACACAAGTTCCTATGTTAAACATAGGATATTTTTAGTTACATGGATGTTTGTAGTCCCAAGCAGAATGGAAACTGTACTCTTCACTCCTCGAAACTCAGGCATTCCTAGACAGCAGTCAGGCCTAAGTTCTGCTGGCCCTAAGTACTTAACACCAGCTCCATCTCTCAGACATCTTCATGTTAGTCCTGCATGAGCTCACAGTGGGCATCCCTGGTTTAGGCAGGAACTGAGCCAGTGGTTTGCTTTCTTTGTAACACCATTTCACTTGCTCTGTCCTCTGGACATAACAGCTTAAGTGCTACACAGATTTTTAGGAACACATTGCAAGGCCATTGTTTCCCCAAAAGGCCATTGCTGCTTCTCCTCGGGAGGAATTTTTTATTGTAGATCCTTATTTATTGCACGCAAATAAATGTGAAAAACTCAATATTGTTTTGGGTGCAGTGGGAAAACTAGGAACATTTCTTCCAGGCATTAAAATTAATTTAAAATACATGAGAGGAAATGTCTTAACAAGTGACCATCTTGCTTCAGTGTAATGACAGAACTGACACTCTGGAAGATGCTACAGCTTTTCTGCACATTATCCATCCACTTGAGCAAGTGGATCAACCACTCCATGCCATCATTCAATTCTCAATGCTTGAAAAGTGTCTTACAATGTCCCAAAATAGAAAATATGACAAAATTATCTGTAACATAGATATTGTGTTATCACACAGTAGTTAAAAGACTTGTATTAATGTTAACTTTTGTCCTTTGCTAGTAGATTTTATCTAAAGCAAAAAGCTTCTTGTGTACATTGATCTCATTATCACACAGATCACAGAATGGTTTGGGTTGGAAGGGACCTTAAAGACCATCTACTTTCAACCCCACCAACATGGGCAGGAACACCTTCCACTAGACTGTTACTCGAAGGTTGCTCAAAGTCCCATCCAGCCTGGCCTTGAACACTTCCAGGGATGGGACATCCATAGCTTCTCCGGGCAACCTGTGCCAGTGCCTCATCAGCCTGATAATAAAAATCCATTATATCTAATCTAAATCTATTATCTTTTCATTTAACACCACAATGGCCTTGTCCTGTCACTACCAATCTTAGTAAAACCTATCTCTACATCTTTCTTTAAAGCTTCCTTTAAAGTATTCAAAGGCTGTAAGAAGGTCTCCAATGATAAGCCATGAGAATGAGAACTATGCACACTATGCATGTAAAATTTTGTGCAGACAGCTGTAAACCAGAATTATTTGAATAGCATTTTGATTATCAAGTGGCTTAAAAAAAATTCAGAAAACAGTGTAAAAGCTCATAGCTACTGCTGTATTCAGAATTTATGATTTAATGTTTCTAAGCACAAAATAAATGCCTATAAATATCCCCATTCATATGGCAAACAGACATCATGCAACTTCTGCTATAGGCAGGCAATAACCACAAAAGTCAACCTGAAACAAGAACAAAGAGGCTGATTTACTTGGAAACACACTCTCGTAGCAGGTATGTTATGAGGATGTCACCTGAATAAGTGATTTCATTACTATATTCCAAATACCAACAGTGTCTGATTGGCAACCTGGTGGAAGATTAATTTCTCCACTTGCTCTGCCATACTAGGGCTAAAAAGTTAAGTAGTAATAGCAGTGGATATTTTGGGTCTTCACATCTCAGTGAGATGTGTAAAGCTGTTGTTGCACACAGTTGTGTTTAAAGGTTTTAGGAAGCAGCCTTGTTCTGTGCTAAATTGATGCAAACTTCTTTCTCACAGAAAAAAACCCCAAAAAACAACAAACGACCATAAACATGGAAAAGTCCTGTAACCATGCATGAGAAGCATAATCATCTATTTTCAAGTGGTAATGTTCCTAAAAGGGAGGTAAAGCTGCAAAAAATAGTTTGAGATTCCTGATGTTCTTAGTCTCTGGGTCAATGGAACCCACTGTGGACATTTCTTCTGTTTTTTTTTTTTTCGCCCCCTGCTTAGCTAGATACAAGATGCTGTTGACAGAGTAAATGCCCTCCTAAAAGCCCCTAAGTCCTTCTCCCTCTCCAACATGATGCTCAATAGATTTTCAGATATTGAAGGCTCCCCATGTATTAAAAGAGCACTCTGCAATTAACAATCATTAAAGTGTACACTTTTGTAAAATACCATGTAGCTTTCACTGCCTAGGAAGCTCCATGAGAGGCTCTTTGCAGAAACTTTGGTTATATTCCCCATGGAGAAGAAAACCCTCTTGTCTCCCTTCTCCTGGAATGAAAACAATACTTAGGGGAAACCCCCCATGCTCTCTGGGCTGTTTCACCACCACCAACTTAGATGATATAAAGGCATCTGGGGCCTCTGGCCCATTATGCTCATGTTTTGACTTTAAAGCTTTGACTTGCATGACCTTTCCCCCTGTGGCTAAGTGCTAGCAAAATGTGCCCTGAAACTTGCTGAACGGCTAACAGAATTTTCTGTGGCAGACTAAATCCCTTTATCCTCTGTCCTAAGTCACCTGTAGTTGCCTTCTTGGTGGAAAAAAAAGTGGACATAAAACTCCAGTCCCTTCAGGGTTTTGTTACTTGGCAGAGTTCAGCATTTCAACCATGCCAATGTGATATGGCTGTTTTTTTGCTGGATTCAGATTCACTTTAGCAAAGAAAGTTTGCTACAAACAGTTTAGCATCATCTGAGTTATTTAATCATGCAAATAAATCAAAGTTGGTACCAAGTATTCAGGATCATGATTCTTCTGATTTTAACATCTTATCTCTTCCTATACTGAATTATTCCTACTCCATAGCTAGTTGTGGATGCAATGATCAGCATCAGCAGATGCTGTTAAGCCAAATAAAGAGGAACATTCTT